AGTTCGAGTCCGCGTCTGCGTCCGCCGACAAGTGCGAGTCCGGCTGTGGGTTCCACGAGTCGCCGGGATCCGCTTCGAATGCTTCAAATGCTGGAATGGTCTTCTGCGGCGTGCTCGGCGGCGCTCGGTCGCCGGCTCGGACGGACGCTTGACAAGTCTCGTCGTCGGCCGGCCGAGTTCGTCGGGGCAGACTGAGCCGGAAGCGGTCTCGACCGTTGGCCGGCCTCCGCCATTGGCTGTGCTCCAAGACCGACATGCTGCGTGGCAGAAGACCGCCTCGGGCCGGCGAGACTCGCGATCGCATTGCTCCGATCGTCTCACGCCCGGACGCAGGCTCGTCTACCTCAAGTCGCCCAAAACATGACTCTACGATACAGAATCTGCAGACCCTACAGACTCAACAGAAGGTATCGATGGTACATTTGGTACAGACTAAAGATGCTACAGACGCTTCAGGTAGTGCAGACCTTCAAAATGGTACCGATGGTACAGATGGTACAGTTGGTAAGGATGGTACAGTGTATACAGATTGTTTAAGTGGTACAGACGCTTCAGACCCTTAAGACACTACAGACACTACAGATGGTACGGATGGTACAGACGATTCAGAATCTGCAGACCCTACGGACTCTACAGAAGGTATCAATGGTACAGTTGGTGTAGAGTAAAGCTACTATAGACGCTCCAGATGGTACCAAGAGTACAGATGGTACAGAGCGTACAGATTGTTCAAGTGGTACAGACGCTTCAGACCCTTGAGACACTACAGACCCTAAAGATGGTACGGATGGTACAGACAATAAAGAATCTGCAGATCCTACAAACTCTACAGAAGGTATCGATGGTACAGTCGGTACAGACGAAAGGTATTACAGAGGCTTCAGGTAGTGTAGACCTTTAAAATGGTACCGATGATACAGATTATATAGTTGGTACGGATTGTACAGACGATACAGAATCTTCAGACCCTACAGACTCTACAGAAGGTATTGATGGTACAGTTGGTACAGAGTAAAGATTCCGCAGACGGTCGAGATGCTACCGAGGGTACAGATGGTACAGTTGGTACGGATGGTACAGAACGTACAGATTTCTCAAGTGGTACAGACGCTCTAGACCCTTTAGACACTACAGACCCTACAGATAGTGCGGATGGAACAGACGATACAGAATCTGCAGACCCACAGAGTCTACTGAAGGGATCGATTGTACAGTTGGTACAGAATAAAGAAGCCACAGACGGTCGAGATTGAACCGAGGGTACAGATGGTACAGTTGGTACGGATGGTACAGAGTGTACAGATTGTTCAAGTGGTACAGACGCTTTATACACTACAGACCCTAAAGATGGTACGGATGGTACAGACAATAAAGAATCTGCAGACCCTACAGACTCTACAGAAGGTATTGATGGTACAGTTGGTACAGACGAAAGATATTACAGAGGCTTCAGGTAGTGTAGACCTTTAAAATGGTACCAATGATACAAATTGTACAGTTGGTACGGATTGTACAGACGATACAGAATATTCAGACCCTACAGTCTCTACAGAAGGTATCGATGGTACAGTTGGTACAGACGGTCGAGATGGTACCGAGGGCACAGATGGTACAGTTGGTACGGATGGTACAGACGCTCTAGATCCTTTAGACACTACAGACCCTACAGATGGTACGGATGGTACAGACGATACAGAATCCGCAGACCTACAGACTCTACAGAAGGGATCGATGGTACAGTTGGTACAGCGTAAAGATGCTACAGTCGCTTTAGGCAGAGCAGACCTTCAAAATGGTACCGACGGAACAGATGGTACGAGTCGTGTGGGTGGTACGGGTGGTACGGACGATGAAGAAACTACGGACGGTACAGGTGGTCGAATTTGTAATCCATTGTAGAGCGAGTCTGCCGAAGGGTGGTACTCGCGCCTCGTTGCCACGGGCCTAGAGTGCCAGATCAGCCCAGTCCGGATGGGCGGAGGGAGGAGAATGTTTCCGTCGGCCAGATGCAGCCATCGTCGTGCCGGACGACTGTAGCGACTGGGAGAAGCGGCGAGAGACGACAATGCAACAATCACAGCATAGACGAGCTGGTGCAGAAGAGGAGAAGGCAGCAAAAGGCAAACCGTCGCCTCCATTCCCGGCAAAGAGGGTCGAAATGTGATTCATGGGAGTGGGAGTGCAATGGGCCAATCAGAGACGCCCGTCTCGTCCCGCCAATCAGCGCGTCGGAGACCGACAGACCAATTGAATGCCTCAAAGGGGAAACCTCTTGTTGGCAGTTGGAATTTGGCGCAGTCTTTGAATCAGTACGTCTGGCAGACCTGTCTGCTGGGCAAAGCCGGTCTCAGCCCCGGTTCTGCTGGCCGTAGCAAGACGGACCAGTGCACTTGAACTATGAGAGTACAAGTGATGCGGGAAAAGCAAGGGGTAGAAGGTGAGAGAGCAGACAAGCTGTGAAATGATATTTCATATGAGAAAGACTACAGTTTTAAAGCTGGTGTATGTGCAGGCAACAGTTGGGCTAGGGCCGCTGGAAAGTGAAATAAGTGTACGTGAAGAAAAGTTGGCTTTCAGCAAATCATCTGATTTATGCTTGTTGAACAGCTCACTTTCACTTCGAGTAAAAGTGTCCACGACGGAGATGCAAAGGTCGATCTTATCAGAAAACGACGACGGATTCCCATTTTGATCGAATGCCGATTGGCGTTTCTGCGGCAAATATCCTTCGATTACGATGAAATTGCATCAAACTTTCATCCGTCCTACGACGGACATCATCTAAGCAGATGGTATCATCTTTACAAACATTTCATTTAAAGCGATGAACGAGTGGTGGTTGGATTCTCCCAAAACGTTGGCAACTGACGTCTCCATTCAATTTCGCATTGTCTTGCTTTGCCAAAAATGTGTTCTCATCCCTGCTCGAGTGGACGGCACTTTCGAGCTCGACTCCGGCTTTTCAACATCCCAGCGGGAGTCGAACCATGACAGTGCAGCGTGTACTCCTGCCATGTTGCTCACTCCTGGTGCCCTTGGGTCACAGAGAAAAGATGTGAATTTCAAGCAAAGCCACACGTTTTTCCATATCACATTGTTTGCTGGCAGTGCAGATACAAATCAAAGTTATATTTGCTATAGGATGTATTGGTAGTCTCGAAAACCTACTCACCCACGAAAAAAGTAGTGTCATTAATTACTACAGCAAATAAAAAGTTTGCTTCATCGACAGTCACGACACGAAATGTGATATAGAAATTCACATCTGCCCTGTGACCCAAGGGTAGTCGTGACCATGTGGCAGAGTGGTTGACGTGTCGAGCACTCTCATGGTTCGAATCCCGATGGGGGAGTTGATAGGAGCTGGGCGAAGTCGAAACTGCAGTCCACTCCGGTCAGGCTATGTGAAATTCAATGGAAGCGTCAATTCTACTCACATCATTGTGGGAAAATCCGGCTACCAGTGCTTCATCACGTTAAACGAAGTAGGATGAATACAACTTATATTGGTAGATTGGGAAACCTACTCACTCACGAAAGAAT